TGCTTTCCCTTTCACCTCCCTGCATTGTGCCTACATATGCAAATTAACCGCCATCTTGTTGGCAGTTAACTGTCAATCTTAGTTGGCAGTTAACTGCCAATCTTAGTTGGCAGTTAATTTGCATATAGCCCTGATTAGCCAATGAAAAGGGTATTGGTCGTACGCCAATTACCATTTTTGTCTTTTATTAGATAGGATTCATCTTGTGAAAATTAGTAAAGGGAATGTTCAATAAAATGGAGTCAGGAGGCCAGAGGGGAGCTCTCACACAGTGCTACTTGATGTCATTTATAGGAAGAATTGCCAATTACAGACCCCAACATAAGAAATCATCATAGGCAAAGAATCACCAATTACAGGCCCCAACAGAAAAGATATATATTGCATCTCCTACAAGAAATCGAGAAACGAATACCCCTGCAGCTCAGCCAATGAAACCACCCTCCTCCTGAACTCTTGCTTTTCCCCAATGAACTTTTGTTCAAAACTACTCCTCCCAACTTCTTCCTTTTTCTCCATAAAATAGCATTCCTTTCTTTTGTTTGTTGAACCTGCCTATGGCTTTTGCTATAGCATGCTTGTCCTGAATTAACCCATTTTTGCTGGCAAAATAACTTTTATTTTTAGGGTCAATAATCATATTAACCAGTTAATGTATAAATAGGTTAATATAAAAAACATTATTACCCAGATAGCTTAAGGAAAATATTCAATACATTTCAGCAATTCTTCTTGATCAAATTCTTAACTCAAAATGAAAGGTAACTTCATTTTAATATAATAAAAAAACAACTGCCAGCCCCATAGCAAATATAATTAAAGTAAAACTTTAGAAACATAATTAAAGTCAGGACCTACTGATTCTATTTCTCATACTGTTAAGCATTGAACTGGCATCCTATTCAATGCAAGAGGACAAAAAAAATAAAGATCAACAATTATATGGACTAGAACAGTGATGGCGAACCTTTTGAGTTCGGCGTGTCAGCATTTGGAAAAACCCTAACTTAACTCTGGTGCCGTGTCACATATAGAAATTTTTTGATAGAAATTTTTTGATATTTGCAACCATAGTAAAACGAAGACATATTTTTGATATTTATTTTATATATTTAAATGCCATTTAACAAAGAAAAATCAACCAAAAAATGAGTGTCATAGGTTCGCCATCACTGGACTAGAAAGAGAGAATTATTTTTACTTTATTTTTTAAAGAATATTTTTATTTCATAGAGGAAGGGAGAGCGATACAGAAATATCAATGATGAGAGAGAATCATTGATTGGCTGTCTCCTGCACGCCCAATACTGGGATCGAGTCAGAAACCGAGGCATGTACTCTTGAACAGAATCGAACCCGGGACTCTTCAGTCTGCAGGCCACTGAGCCAAAGCAGCTAGGGCAAGAATTATTGTTATTAGAGGCAAGATCTGAAAAGTGATTTTAGCAATGTTGCTAGGTACAAATCAATATTTTCCTATATGCCATCTGTCTTAGTCTTCTCCGGCTGCTGTAACAAAATACCACACACTGCTTGCCTTAAACACAGAAATTAATTTATTTTCTCACAGTTCTGGAGGCTAGAAGTCCAAGACCAAGATGTCAGCAGGGCCAGTTTCTGGTGAAAGCTCTCTTCCCGGCCTGCAGACAGCCACCTTCTCCTGTCTTCACATGGCCTTTCCTGGGGGGGGTGTCTAGAGAGAGCACCCTGGTTTCCCTTCTTATAAGGACAACAATCTTAAGGGATCAGGGTCCCAACCTTATGACCACATGCAACCCTAATTTTCTTAAATGCCCCATCTTCAAATAGAGCCACCCTGGTGGTTAGGATTTCAATATATGAATTTTGGAGGTACACAGTCAGTTCATAGCACAACAGCCAATAAGAAATTACAGAAGGGGAGGGAGAAAAACTGACCATAATATCAACAGGCATGATAAAACACTTAGGAATAATACGTCTTATGTAATGTTGAATTTAAAATCAGATCCAGGAATAAATATTTTTTAAAATTGCATAAACTGAGAATTTATTAATAAAAATGTTAAAATGCTATTAAAGTTCATAAAGGAACTGAAAAGAAAAATTGAAAGATATGCTCAGATGCTCAGCTACTGAACAACAGTGGCTGGGCTGGAATGCACATTTAAATTAAGATTTTTATTTTAATCTTATTGAAGTGATTATATTTTTCCTTGGACTTACTGATAAGGTAATACTAATGGGTAGCCAGGTCATCTTTGTGTTTCTAGAATAGAACCCACTTGGTTATAGCATATTTTTGTAAGGTATTGCCAGCTTCTTCTGTTAATAATTTCTCAGTATTTTTGCGTGGATAGTAGTAATTAAGTTTTGTCCATGCTTCCTTTTAAATCATTACATTTGTTGATTTTGGTGTCCTATGCTATTTGATAAATATAAAAGGTTCCTCCTAGTTCCTAAGGAACTATTTAAATATAATAATTCTCTCCTGGATGTCTGAAAGAATTCACCAGAAACTCGATGACTGATGCTTTTCCTTCTTTTCTCTGTATTTTTATTTACTTATAAAATTTATCCCCAGGTGGAACCACAAGCTGCATCAGCATCCCGCTCTTTCCATCCCCTGTAACCGCAGAGTGGTCGTTGGCACTCTAACCGAGCTACTCGTCAGGGTTCCATGACTGATGCTTTTCGACAGAGAATCTCTGAAATTGTCTTCGTTTTCATCCATGATTAGTTTTTCTCATTTATTGGGTCAAATTTGATATATCTATTTGCGCCATTAAAGTTTTTCAAATTTATTAGCACCGAGAGGATTCTCATTCAGTTTGCTGTGTCTGGTTATTTATGCTTTCTTCCTCCTACCCCTTCTCTCTTTATGGGAATAGTTACTAATATATTTACCACTTTCCGCCACAGCATTGGAATGAAGGATCGGCTTTACCTTTTCCCACTGATAACTCCTCTCTGCTTTCCACAATTTATTTTTAATTCCGTTTCCCTCAATGGAATGCTTAAGCCAATTGTCTTTTTAAAGAAACCTACCTTTCGGTTTCAATTCCTAATCTTTTAAAATCCTAGCCATTAAGTCCCTCCTGAAAGCATACTCCCGGAGCTCGCCGCCCTTCCGCGTCTCCAAGCAACCAGCGCTGCTAGGACGCCGGGCCGCCGGGCCTTCTGGGAAATGTAGTCCGAAGGTGCCTTCTTCTCGGGTACGTGCACGCGCGTTCCCATGGCCACCGACGCTTGCAGGTAGCGCCCCTTTTCTTTGTCCTTCGGCGCCGCGTGAAAGGCGAGTGCGCGCGAACACCCTCCCGGCTGCAGCCGGTCCGGATCCCGCGGATGCGCGGGGGTTGCACCGAGGCCCACGGGCTGGAGGCGCTGTGCTGGGGCCGGGGGTGCGGCGAGCCTGGGTGCGGCGATCGGGTCACGTGGTTCCGGGGCCGGCGTGTCCGAGGTCAGAGACTTGGCGAGTCGGTGTTGGCGTT